AAATAACTGCTTTTCAGATATGATTTCTATGTGTAGCTGGCTTTTGGCTTTTGGCTTTGTCCCAAGATCTTACCTCTTCAATTTACTGGGATGAGAAGTTACTGTTTATTGGGCCTACCATCCAATATGGATGGACTTTTTTTTCTTAGTACTAAAGAACTGGATTATGGTGGGTTTTTTAATGTCCCTCAGATAATTTCAGTATTAGCTTATAAGGATGAACAACTGATCACAACTATGTCACCTTAGATAAAATAGTGCAATCAGTATGAGACATATCTAGCACAACCTAGAAAATGACAATCTGATAATTTAATTTGCCACAGTAAATCATAGGAACATGATTTCTAGTTATATAACAAAAATAAAACAAACCAGAAAATTTGTAAAGTAAATATACCCTCAATAGAACAATTTTGCCCTTAGGGGAGAAAATTGAAAAAGGATAAGAGAAAAAATATCAGAAAAATAGAAGAGCCAGAGATTAGAAGCTAGGATAAAGTACAAAGGAGGATTACTCAAACTTTGGGAAGCTGAGAAAGGAGGGAAAGAAAGAAATGAAAACAAGAATAAAACAAAATTTAAAAAAGCTGAAAACAATTGTCACACTTATGAAAAAACAAACAAGTGAAAAAGAAGAAAGAAAAAACAATATGAGAGAATTTCTCTAATTTCAAGCTTGCAGTTATCTTTTGGAGAGTTATTTTTGTGCTAATCTCCACTACTTGGTGCATTTCTGCTGTTGCTGGTAGACAGGAGGGAGACAGAGCACAGATCCATGCTGGGTGATCTTAGTAAGCCTGCAGTAGAAGTAAGATGGGGTTCTTGAAAAATCTATAAATCCTGGAATTTCAACTCCATAGAAGACTGATCCAAGTCTGTAGCTGTGAGGTTGGGACCTAAGTTGGTCAGCCTACAACACTCGAGGTGTATTTTGCCAGCTTTACCTTAACTACTGAAAGCCACTTTCCTTCCAAGTCTGTGCCTCAGCCTGACACTGAGTGCCCTAAGATGAAGCTAGCCCATGGCTAGTCTGAGTCTCAGGCTAAGTTGTTCCCATCCCAAAACAGCATCCTCTCTCAGGTTTAGCTGTCCCCTCCTCAAAATAGTGTCTAGCCAATCATCTTTTCCTGGGGATGTTTGGACTGATGTCCCTTATCAGCTGCTGTAGCCCACATCCACTGCTCCATTTCACTGGTGCATCTCTCCTTAGAGGCCTCTGGAGTCACTATCATTGTGCCTCTGCAGATTCAAGCCTCCTCTCTCACACTGAGAGCAGGGAATTAGGGAGAAAGCACTATTTGCTACCTTCTTCTTCTGTACTGTGGTACCTCTCTTCTCTCTTTCCCCAAAGGCTCCAGTGGTTTCTTCAAATCCTTGCTGAGTCCCAGGGTTCAACCTCCCTCCTTGTTCTCTTCCCCAAACTGCTATACTCCAGTGCTTGGACTTTGAATCTTAGAGAGGTTGATTTGTTGCTCTTCACCATTTCATCATGTTCCTGGAAGTATCTTTTTTTTTTTTTTTTAATTTTATTCATTTAATGAGAAAAAAAGGTAAAATAGCAATGAAACAGTTTCAAAATAGGTTAGTAGGACAGTTACAATAATTAATACATCACATAGTGTTGTCTTCCTAGTAGTTATTCAGAGGACAAGATGCAGACGTGATATCTTGTCTAAACAGTATTAATACAAACCTTTCTTCTCATTGAAGAGAAAGCAGCTGTATATCTATCTTAAATATTTTGTATATACATTTTTTTCACTACAAAATGGTCCTTTATTTATATCCCCCCTTTTCATTTTATTTTGTCAGAGATGGGTGTTCCATTACTGTTAGAGAAGCTATATTTGGAGAAGTCTTTAAAGGACCTTTTCATACTTGATGCCAGTCCAAATATTATAGGTACTTGCATTCAGCAAAATAACCCAATATAGTCCAATAGTCCATAATAGTAGTGAGTTATCACCACAACTAGCAACTGTTAGAGGTTGCTGACTTTATCCTTTCACAGCTCAGAATATTAATATAGCTTTACTTTTTATACCTCATGGTTATACTTTTCTGCTGGATGGTTAAGACCTGGTTAAAGCAAGACCTATACAACTAAAAATGTAACTTTTGCTATCTGGGAAGGTCAGTCAAATCTCTTCAGGATTTACTCTGGAACCATGCATAGCATCTAGTGGATCTTTTGTCAGATGTCAGCTGTCATGGCCATTGCTTGACCATCTGCTCTGTGAAAGCCTGAGAGAATTTTTTTCTCTCTAAGTGACTCTCCTTAGGTGCACTATGCATCACTGATCACTTTCTTCTGTGGCCCCATAATCTCCTTGCTCAGAAAGTTTGGGATACCACTTAGTTATAGGATGTCACAGCAGAGGTTCTCTTAGGTCCTGAGTCCTCACTGACTTTGAAAGTATCTTTTTTTAGTTAGTTTGTTTTTTTGAGACAGGGTCTGGCTATGTAGTTCAGGCTGGCCTCAAGCTTTCCCTTATCCTCCTGCCTCATCCTCTCAAATGCTGAGATTACAGGCATGCACCTCCATGTCTGGTTTCATGAGTATCTTTTTAAAGGCAGGAAGCATCTTTGGCACATAAAAATTAGGTTCAAGTGTAGTTAAAAAATACACCAAAACCAAAGAATTTTGGGCCCAATGTTTATTATAAAAATTGTTTATAATACTAAAAATTTACGATGAAAATACAAATCAAACAAGACACAAATATGCTGCACTGAAACATTGAAAAGTTGGTTATGTCCTCCAATAATTCAAACAAACAAACACACATTATCAGAAAACCACACCTGGTGCCCATCGCTGATCCCACTCATTCATCTTGACTTTTTGAGCACCTTCTAGGTGTAGTAGCCCTGGGGACAAGGGATGATCAAGGGGGTCCCTGCCCTCACAGAATTTGTGCTCCAGGAAACAGACAGATATCAAACACAACATTAGGTAGTCACAGGTTGTGGAAACATCCATAAACCTCAACTCCTAAACAACAGTGGAGGCTGCTTTTCATGTCACAACCTTTTTTGGGGTAAACATATATATATATATATATATTCCCCCCCCCCCATCCTCCAAAATGAGGATTGAGCTCAGGGCTTTGTGCATGCTAGGAAAGCACTCTGCCACTGAGCTTCAGCTCTAGATTTTTTTTTAAGGATCATGTTATGTTTTCCTTGCCAGTTGTGAACTTGTGGGCTTAAATGCTCTTCCTGATTCAGCTGCCAGAACAGCTGAGACTACTGGTATGTACACCATTATGCCTGTCCTAAATTATAGTTTTAAACCAATTGTTTCACAGGTTGCAAATTTCTGGTCATACACATAAAAGTTCATAGTTATGAGCAGCATTTCTAATCAGAATCTGTATTAATAAGTACTTTTATGGCCATGCTACTGGATGAAGGCCCACATCCTAAGTATAAGCATGTGTGTATCTTTATACCTGTTTACAGGCCTGTGTCACTATTAAATATTAACACTCCTTGGTATGTCTTTCACAAAATTCTCAGAACATTCAGCCTGCCCAACAGCTACCAGCATTATAATTTTCAGGCAGTTTACTGATGTCCCTAAATGCATAGTATTTCTTTTTCTTTTTTTTGTTCTCTTTTATTTTGCATAGTATTTCTTTAAAAAAAAAAAAAAAAAACCAAACAGAAAAAGTACACTTTAAAGCTAAGTAACATATCCTTTTAAAGAGCACCATAAAGGAGGGACAGGAACGTCAAAGACAAGGTAAAACTGAACGTCCTTCCCATTCTATTGCCATCAGGTTCGCTGAAAACCATGGTGGGTCTACAGTTGAACACTTGCATTCCCACAGCTTCGGGATCTACCAGTTTCACTGGTATCTTTCACTATGACTGTGCCAGTTTTCCTTCTCCACACCCTACAAGATTCTGGTTTTAGGCTACCCACTGGAATGTAGCAAGTGCTAGGCTGGATCACTGAAGCAATGCCCTCAGGGGCCAACACCTTTTCCTGGTCTGAGGCCTCTTCCAGGATGACAGAGCCATCACAGTGTGTGGCAGCCTTCAGCTGAGGAACTGCTCTTTAGTCAAATACCTCAGGCAGAGAGACAAAAGAGATATGCCTTTGGGTGGGATGGTCATCTACATTTTCTCAGGTACATGCAAGTAGAGCAAAAGGGACATCTGAATAGCGCTAGACAGTGGGGAGAAATTGGCCAGATATCTTTTTTTTCCTTTTGTTTTTTAGAGACAGGGTCTTGCTATGTAGCTCAGGCTGCCTTGAACTTGTGGCAATTCTTCTGCCTCAGTGTCCTGAGTGCTGAGATTATAGGCATGTGCCACCACACCTGGTGGCCTGGTATTAAAGGACACAGATAAGCCATAAAAAACACAGTGGGTTAAAAAGATTTTGCACATTATTCTTATTTTTTCATTAAATTCACTTGTCTTTCCTTGTGAGTCTAATGTCTTCTACAATGGGAACTTTCTGGTCCTTTGACCACTTCCTAAGTATACTGCACCTAATCAGTACACGTTCTGGTTATAACAAATGGAACAATGGCTTCTTTATTAAGATTGTTACCTCTAGGAACTCAGAGACTCAAAATTCTGATCAGAAACTATTATTCTAGTAAGTTATGAATCAGGAAATGCTAACATACAGGAAAACATTACCTAACAACATAAACAGGTATCTGTGTTATAGTAGCCAATGTTCTCACATTTAAAAAAAAATTTGGGGGAGGGTATTGGGAAATGAACTGAGAACCTCACACTTGCCAGGCAGGCACTGTACCACTGAGCTAAGTCCCTAGGCCCTGTTCTCACATTTTTTTTTAAAAAAATGCATTTAGTACAGGGTCTACAGGGTCTCACTACACAGCTCAGACTTGTAGTGATCCTCCAGTTTTCAGCCTCCCAATCACTGGGATTATAGCTGCATGCCACCATGTCCAGTCTCAATCAAAGTCTCATTACACCCCAGGGGCACAGCCAGGCTGGCACAGCACACTGGGGATTGAACTCTGGCCACTGTACTCTGCCTAAGCAGGCACTTCAGTCTTCTGGGCTATCTGGCCAGCCCTTGTTCTCACATTTTTAATTATCACTTTCCCAGCATCTGTGGCTGCTTAGCAGATAACCAAGTTGATGATGATACTCAGATTTTTCAAAATAAATTTCTCAGGGGCCCACCTCAATGTTAATAAAGGACCAGCTATCCTAAGTGTCTCCTACAAAATGACACAGAGTCTCAGGAATGGAGAACAAAAAAAACCAGCAGCTGTGTGACAGAATTACCTGAAGGAGCCCACATACTCACTGTAGCCACAGAACATAGCAAGTGGTGTTGAAGCCATCACTGGAAGGATGGTGGCCGTGCTCAGAGTTGACTCGTCAGAGATAGCCCACTGATGAGAAGGTGAAACACTTTGTTCCAGATCCCTCTGACTACACTGTGAGACTGGTGCTTACCTGTACCATCAGGATCTGTGACCTGCAGCTGGTCTTCCTTCCTCTACAAGAGAATAGCCTTGGCATAGTCCTTGACAGCTCAGGCCTAGGGCAATCTCCCCAGGGCAACTGAGATCTTGGGAGGTCCTTCCCACAGACAGGACTTTCAGTTGCAAAAGTACTTCACTTATTTGACTTTCCAGACTTTCCTCTCCATTAGAATAGTTTCCTGAATCTTGACTAGTCTGGGTATTGTACTTGCAGTCTTCATCAGTTTCCTCAGTCTCCTCTGCTATGATAACCCTTTGTGTATTTTCAATTATGAAACATTTTTCAGTTTGTTCCTCAGAAGTGGGAAGTAGAAGATTTCCAAGTGATTGTTCAGAGAAATACTAATTTAAAAAAGAGAAGGAGCAGAAAAGGATTATTTATAATAATAATAATAATAATAATAATAATAATTTTTTTTTAGAACAAAGGATTGAACTCAGGCCCTTTTGCACTTGCCAGGGAAGTGCTTATTCCACTGAGCCATCTCCCTAGCCCCCTACTATAATAAATTTTAACACAAAGATTTAAAAAATCAGCCTAGAACATACCAACGACATTAGAAAGTCACAGATGGAAACCATTAGTGAGTTCATCTTTCTTTTTTTTTTTCCCCGTTTGAGACAGCCATGTAGCCCAGGCTACCTCTGAACTCACAGCTGCCTTAGCTCCTCAAGTGCTGAATTATAGGCATGGACCACCATTCCAGATAAGTTTATATATTTTAAAACTTTTCTGGTGAGTTCTCAAAGTGCACCTCAGAAAGGTGCATAGTGCTGGTAGGACAGAATGTAGGATGGCTTGGAAGAGGCTGGATGATAAAGGCGGTGGGTCATGGACATTTTATTTTGAAATAATACAAAATGCTGTATCCAATCCACAGATACCCAGAAGCACAAGTCAGAAATAGCTGAGCATTGTGGCACACAGCTATAATGTCAGCACTCAGGAGACTGAGGCAGGAAGATTACCATGAGTTTGAGGCTAGCCTGGACTGCATGGTGAGACCCTGTTTCAAAAATCCCAACCCAATCCAACCCAACCCAAACCAAACCAACCCAAACTAACCCAACCCAACCAAGAAATAATTTTTTTCTTGCTTGACCAAGAAGATTAGCTGTTGTAACTAGCTAGTTTAGAACAGTACTCAGGAATGATATTCAAAACTCAGGAGTAAAAGAGTAAAATAATATTTACTAAGTATTTTGAGAGTGCTAAGCCTTATAAGTGCAAATCCATTCCAGCTTTCCAACAATTCACCCTGAGGCCTCTTAACTTTAAAGCCTGAGGTCTAGACCACAGCACTTTCCAGGCAAACCTGAAACCTGCCTGGCTAACAAACTGCACCCAGGCAAGATTCCCTATTAGGCCTTCATCGTGTAGTGCTTAGTTTTTAGAGACTGGGTCTCACTATGTACTGTGGTGCCTTCAACTTGTAGCATCCTCCTGACCCAGCCTCCTGAGTGCTGGGATTACAGAGATGTACCACTATACCAGCAACTTAGTGCTTTTGTTTAACATGTTCTCATAGAAGGACCTGGCAAAAAATGATGTGTCATGAAATCAAACTCTTGATTTTAGTTATTTTACTTCTGTGGCTTCACCTACAGAATATACTTTCTACATGAGTGACGATGTTTTTGATATTCTTGACTATGTATCAAGAATCATAGGACCCAGACCTAGCCCAGGCCCGGTGAGTAGGTGGAAGAGCTTCTGGCTACCCTGTGCTGGCATGACCTACTGGTCCCAGCCCTGGCGCAGCATGGGTGACACCCTCTTTCACCCTCTTGGGATGCCCCCATCACTCCGTAGTACCACCCCATGCCCCGCCCACAGAGTAGGAATTTCTGTCGCATTCTGGGAATCCCCAGATCCAGTCCTAGTCCAGGCCTGGTGAGTGTGTGGGAGAGCTGTCTCTCCCCCCTACTCCA